CTGTTGATCTTTTTTCTATATATACACATTCACATAACATACTCACCACAAGGGGGAGATAGAGGGCACCTGGACATTACTCACAGTGTCATCTGAAGACGTCAGAGGAGCACATGGAGTAAGAGTTTGCCAAGGTCTACGTTTTTCTTGTTTTTGTGTGCGAAGGACAATCGTTTGTGTGGATTTTTTGCCCTTTTTGGACTTGTTAGTCTTTCAGGTCTGAAGTAAAGACTATCCTAAGAGGACACTTGCAACTTATGATGGTACAATTATCTGGACTCAAACCTTTCTGGTGAGAACAATCCATTTTGCATATACTCTCATCCACGGACTTTAGACTTTGCACATATACATACATACATACACACACCCTCACTCACCATTTTTGTATTATGTTATTGTATAAATGTTGTTTGTGTTTTTGTTTCATTGTTAAGACTTGTTCAGAGACATTTGTGGTTCCATTACATAGACTATCTCTCAATCCATGATAAAATTTGAATACAGAAACTAGAGAATTGAACCATATCTTTTATTTTTTTCTTGTGTATCCCGTTGATTTAAAGACGAGTGTTACAAACTAGTGCCATTTCCCTTAACTTAGCTGAAAATGAGCTCTGATATCCCTTTTTATTTTCACTAATCATTCAGAACGCACCTTCGGGTCACTCGGAACGTGGTGAAATTATTCATTTGTGTCGCTTTCTCTTCGCTGATAATATATACAGCAAAGTACACAACGTTCCTGTGTAACTCCCAACGATACTTCCTGGTTTCCTCCCACCGCAGCCTCGATTTTGCTTTTCAAGAGTTCACACTTCGCTGATAATCAATAAAGCGTATTTGGCATGCTGTCCCGGGAGAGAGCCCTGAGCTCGTAATATCCTCGAGCCCGGGGCTCCCTCCTGTTAGAAGGGCAAGAGGGGAATTCAAGGTCAGGTAGGTCTCGAGAACTCCCCTGCTTGTCACCGTGAGAAGTGTAAACTCAGGTTGTATTGGGTGATAATTTGTTTTAGTAGATTGGCTATGGTTTTGTTTTTGGACGATGGGAGGAAACCGGGGAACACGGGGAAAACCCACGCGAACACGGGGAGAACATGTAAACTCCACACAGAAACACCAACCGCCCCGATGGGTTGGACCGGCGGTGTTCTTGCTGTGAGGCAACAGTGCTAGCCACTGGGCCACCGTGTCGCCCAATCAGAAAAAGTGGGAGGATGTAGGGGTGGAAAGGGGGGGAGCTTCAAGACGAAGATAACTGGAGTGAAAAACTCAGGGTATTTATAATGCTTCCATAATCATCTAATAGGGCTGATTACGGAGCTAACAAGGAGCCAGCCGTGTTGATTATAAGCACGTGATCCTCTCGAAATTAGTTTATGAATAAACCACACTTAAAAAAGGCAGCCACGTGAAATCAGTCTATTGCTCACATACTGCTGTCTCCCACCCAAATAAGACCCAAACCACTATAAGGCTTCTTCTAACTTGCTTTATTTATTTAGTAAGATACTGTGATTAATCGTGTCAAAGACTTTCTTTAGGTCCAGGAACACCCTGTGCAACACCTGAATGTGCGTAAAAGGTTGCGTCATCTTTTTGGCCCCTTTTCCCTTCCGTAGCAGTCAAGGTGCAACCCGCAAGACAGACAAGACAAGCAAACACAATTTGACACCAACCCAGGCTCGTTCTGAAAATATACCACTATATACATTTCTGGAGAGCACGAAATGCGTCCCAGGAGATGTGTCATTTTTGCAGTTCTTGTGAATCCACTAGAGGTCGCTGTGTACGCTTTTCCAGATCTCAGATTTCTACATGAGTGTCATTCACGCCTGCTGTTCTCACGTAAATCCACCAGAGGCTGCTGTCGACTGACTGACTGACCAAAGCCATCCGGAAAAAGAAAAGCCCTTGCGGCCGCTCAATTTTTACCACATTTTTAGATTTGACCACATTCTCACCCTGATATTTACTTGTTTGTTTTATTTTCTTGGGTTTTGTTTTTGTCTTACCTGCTTTCTGAAACCGTTCTTTACCAGACTTGAACCTCGTCATTGTGGTCAACTCCTCTCTGCATCTCAGATCCTCCAACGTACATGGCGAGCCACAAGCCAAACTGGTAACTGCAGGAAGGTCGTCCATACTAAGGTAAACGGTCAGCTGGTAGCGTGAAAAGGAATGGCATCACACCGCTTCGTAGCGTTCGTTTGAACGACAAAACGCAGCCATACATACCTCTGGCTACACAATTCGGGATCTCCAAAAATCAATATGGGGCTACGTTGTGACGCCTGCTGCGCTGTGATTTGTCCGCCCTGTCTGTCTGTATGTCTGTTTTGCTCCCTCTACAGTTGCGCTATAACATTGCGGGGCAATGGGGGCATAATCAGATGACTGGGAAACACCTGAGTCTAAGTGTGCGCTCTTTTATCAGCGTCCTGCCACTGTTTGAGAGAGACTCCCTGATGCTAAGGGTTGGACGAAGACCAGCGGCGTGCGAGTTGGCGGGGCGTTTTGCTAATGCTTGGTCACAGTGGGCTTAAAATAAACTTTTGAAACGTAAATTTTGGCTTCCCCCTCTTTTTTTCTTCTGAAGTGCGGAGAGCTCAATTTCGTAATGGGTTGCTATCTCTAATAATTGATCCTTCGTCATTAAGTCTAATAAGTCCTCAGACGAAGTCTGAATAAACGTTTCCACAACATTCGCCATAGAAATAATAATCTAATTCACTCCAACAATAATAATAATAATAATAAAATAAGAATAATAATAATCTCACTGTCTTATTATCATTAGCTAGTTCATTGTGTCAAGCTGAGCAAGCGATTATCTAATCATAACTCAGTTTTCAAGCTTATATGATTGCAGCAGACGAGAGTCTCAATGTAAATCATTGAGTCTGAATGACCAGCACCAGAAAAATAACAAGCTGAAGAGTATCGTGTTCTTCCAGCCGTTCGTTCATCTCCAAGCAACTCAAATCAAACTGCAGCTATAAAAGCCCAAACCTCCCAACAAAACAGCGACAGGTGGATAAAACTCGCCGTCTCACCATCACAAATGTATTGATGCTGCAAACAGTACATGATTATATGAGGATGTCTGGCATTTTCCGGCTGGCGAATGTTATTAGGATTGGTAACCTTCTGGTCACACTTTCTGAAAGACGAGCGCCCTCCAGGTACAACACACACCTTTTCCATTTACATGCTGGAAATCTGATCTGGGGATTATTGCACGGGGCGCTCTGCAGTGAATGGATGACATTATAATGCTCTCAGACTCACTGATGCACATATTAAGATCATCAGATCATGCTTTTACAGGCTGCACTGAGGTTTCTGCTGAACTACTGCTGCATGATTCTGCTCTGACTCTCTGTAATATCAAGAAATGATCTGACTGATCCATAATGATTATAAAGCTCGATACTCTAACTCTACATTCTGAAAAACGTGCTAGAGAAACAAAGATGACTTTAATCGAATGGAATTGAACTGAACTAACCTGAAATTAATTGATTTAAACTTAATTGAATTGAACTGAATTGCATTGAACTGAGATTAAATGAAATTAAACTAATTGAATTGGGTTCAACTGATCTGAATTGATTAAATGAATTGAATTGAAATTAATTTAATTAAAATTAGGTTGAACTGAACTGAACTTAATTTAACTGAACTGATCTTAAATTAAACTCAACTGAACTGAGTTGAATTGAATTGAACTGAACTGAAATTAATGGAACTGAATTTAAATTAAATTAATTGAACTGGATTTATCCGGTTTAAAATTAAATTAAATTACTTGAATTAAATCAAACAATGTAATTGATCTGAAATTAATTAATAGAATTGAGTTAAGTTTAACTAAATTGAACAAATTAAATGCATTGAATTGAAATCAAAACTGAAAAGGAATTTAATTGAAATAAATCGAACTGAGCTGAATTGAAACTAATTTGACTGAACTAATCTTAAATTAAACTGAACTGGAATTAACTGAACCTAAATTCAATTAATTGAACTGAACTGAACTGAACTGAACTTATTAATTTAATTTAATTTCTTATCGGCTTAGTCCCTTTATAAAACCAGGGGTCGCCACAGCTGAATGAACCGCCAACTTATCCAGCACATTTTTACGCAGCGGATGCACTTCCAGCCGCAACCCATCTCTGGGAAACATCCACACACACTCATACACTATGGACAATTTAGCCTACCCAATTCACCTGTACCGCATGTGTTTGGACTGTGGGGGAAACCGGAGCACCCAGAGGAAACCCACGCGAACGCAGGGAGAACATGCAAACTCCACACAGAAACACCAACTAAGCCAAGGTTTGAACCAGCGACCTTCTTGCTGTGAGGCGGCAGCACTACCTGCTGCATCACTACATTGCCTAAATTAAATTAAATTAGTTGAACTGATCTGAAATTAATTTAACTTAACTGATCTGAAATGAATTAAATTAAATTAAATTAAATTAAATTGTTAGAGTTGAGTTGAACTTAACTAAATTGAGCTGATTAAATGAATTGGACTGAATTGAAGGAATTGAACTGAAATTAGATTTAAACTGAACTTAGGTTAACTGAACTGATCTTAAATTAAACTCAACTGAACTAAATGCATTGCACTGAACTGAAAGGAATGTGACTGAACTGAGCTGAATTGAAATTAATTTGATTGAACTTAAATTGAACTGAGATTAACTGAACGTAAATTCAATTAATTGAAATTAAATGAACAGGATGTTTCTGAATGTATTTGAAACAAATTTTTCTAAAATTAAATTTTATTAATTTGAAATGATCTGAAATTAAGTGAATGTAATTTATTTGAAATGAAATGAAATGGAAAAACTTGAGCTGAAATTAATTGACTTGAAATGAACTGAAATAGATCTGAACTGGATAGATCTGAATTGCATTTAAATCAAGTTCATAGAATTGAATTGAACTGAACTGAAATGAAACTAAGAGAAGTGCACCTGCGGAATCCACCGGTGATGGTGACGGTGGCGGAGGGGTTGATGAAGAGCAGAGCCTCCTCCATCATCATCTTCAGTGCTGCAGCTTCAGCTCTGCTCACCGGAACACTGATGTCCTCATAAAACAGAAATCCTGCAGACAGCAGGGAGAAAACTATCAGACTACACGTCGGCTCAACGCGTAGCGCAAGCTCTCTGATTGGTCGGCTTGGTAGCGTTGACGAGTCTGGGCGGCACCGAGAGCCGCGTGAATGGCGCTATCCCAATGGAGCGATTGTTTACAAGTGTGGAGTCCCGTGAAGGAGCTCCGGATGGAAAGTTTTGTTTTGTGTTTACCTCATAGTTAAAGTTGTTGCACGTCCGCCGGTTCCTGCCTCAAAATGAGCAAGTTTGAGTCACTTGTACATTCAGGAAGTGTTCAGGAAAAGCAAAACAGCAGCGAAGAAACTCGACACAGAGGAACATTTACACCTCACTGCCAACTAGCGTTTTGGAAGTGTTAATGCAGACCAACAGAGACAGCGCGCAGAAGTATAAATGCACAGCTGCGCGCGTTGCATGCGCCGTGGGTTACACCGGTCACTTGACGCAGAAGTATAAACCAGGCTTAATCATCCTCTCATACGGTGTTCACCTGCTTTGTCTCACGCGAACACAGTTACTGTTTTTAGTCATGCTGCTTCTCGATTCTAAGATCACATTTGCACGCATTTTGGGCCATCCTTACTGTCGAACCCTGCTTTAAGAAAACTACAATGTAAAAATGATTTCCAACCTGCCAAAGTGGCTAGTGGGAGCGGCTGTCTAAACCGCCAAAGCTGAAATATATATATATATATATATATATATATATATATATATATATATATATATATATATATATATATATGTATATATATATATATATATATATATATATATATATATATATATATATATATATATATATATATATATATATATATAT